AAATGGAACTGACGTTTGACCCAATGATCCCACTTATAGGAATATACCCTAAGAAACCCAAAACATCAATCAGAAACAACTTATGCACCCCTATGTTCATAGCAGCACAATTACAACAGCTAAGATCTGGAAACATTCCAAGTGCCCATTAGCAGATGAATGGATAAAAAAGCTGTGGTACATTTATACCACGGAATACTATGCAGCTATAAAAACGAAAGATCTCTTTACCCTTTGGCAGAGCATGGATGGAATGGGAGAGTATTATGCTAAGCGAAACAAGCCAGTCAGAGAAAGGCAAGTACCACATGATCTCACTCATATGTATAATATAATAAACAAAAGAAATTGATGAGCAAAATAAATCCAAAGACATAGAAGCATGGAACAGACTTAGGGATCTTAGAGGGAAGGTAGGAGTAGGAGGTAGGAGAGATTTATCAAAGGACTTATATGCTTATATACATAACCTATGGACACAGACATTGGTAAAGGAAAGGCCTGGAGTTGGAGTAGAAGCGGGGTGGAGGGGATCAATAGGGGAAAAAGAGGGGCATCTGTAATCCTTTCAACAATAAAGATAAATTAAAAAAAAAAAAAAGGAATTCTGCTGCATGAGCTTTTTCAATTTAGATTTGCTGAAGCCAAAACAGAAATAGAAAAATTATATGAGGTAACAACCAAATTAATATCCCTATGCACTACCCTGCCCTCCCATTTTTTTGAGTTGATAGAGTATAAATATAGATTGTGAGCATTTAACACCATTAAAGAGAGGTAAAGAAATGAAGTTCGGCAAACCATGCAGATGATTGCAATAACTTTCTTCCTCCTCCTCAGATCACTTATTTATATATACTCCCTATTATTTTCAGCTTATTTAATTCTTCACAACCCCCACTTCATAAAGAAATATAGTTATGCTCTATTTATAATCAAATTATAAAGTGGGTAAGATTCTCAGACCTTAGATAATATGAAGTAAATATAAGCTTGAAAAATGTGAAAGTAGTGTCTCTGGAGCCACTGCCCAGGCATGTCCATTCAGTAAGCCCATTCAATTACAGTAAACCTAAACAATCTGCTTCAGACTGTGTAATTCACTTTTAACTTGACCTTCCTAGAAAGAAAGACTGACTGGCGATTTCAATACTTTCTCACTCTTTTAGAAGAACTGAACGCTTTGTCTTTACTGCACATTAAGTACAGCCAACTATGATTTTTAGTTGCCTGGGACATAAATATTTTAGAAATAAATATGTTAATTTACTTTTCCCTTCCAAGAATTTCATCAGTGTCAACAAATTCCAGAGATTTTTCAGTCTTTGTTATTAGCAGGCTGAAACTTTGTTGCTGTATTAACAACAAAATTTCCTAGCACACCCTGGAGGAAACAGAAGAGGCATCTAATATCACTAGTGCCAAGAAGTTAAAGTCATTTGGAAAAAAACATGATTTGTTATGTCACCTATAGCTATAGTTAACAGAATTAAACACACTATTGTATCTATAATCAAACTGATATTTGGATTTCTCACCGTTGATTACTGATCTAAAACATGAAATTCTGATAATAAATGTTTAAATTAATCTAAAAAATTCTATTATTTAAAGATGGATACTCAGAGACAAGGTATATGTTGGTTTTTGATGTATTTTCCCACATACCTGTACTACTTACCTGTACAAAATATCAGGAAGGTTAAAAAACAGGAATATTATTAAGACCTGCTGCATAAGTTAGACAGGTAGCATGTCATACACAATTTCTCCTTGTATTAATTCTAACTTCATCTCTTTGCTCCTTAGGAGTACTGCTCCACCTCCCTTAGGAATGGTTACACAGATGACAGGAGGACAGTATCTGCAGTTAAATGACCTTGCTTCCAGTTTTTGTTCCACTATAAACTAGCTGTGTGACCTTATATAAGTAGGTTACTTTTCTGAGCCTGCTTCCTCATCTGTAAAACAGATGGACAGGAGCGATATATGAAAACCTGCAGCAAATGTCAGACTTAATGGTGCAATACTGACAGCTTTTCCTCTAAGATCAAGAACAAGATAAGGATTCTCACTTTTGCCACTTCTTTCAACATAGGCTGGAAGTTCTAGCCAGAGGAACTAAGTAAGAAAAAGAAATAAAAGGCACTGAAATTAGAAAAGAGGTAAAATTATCTTTGTTCACAGATGATATAATCTTAAACGTTAGAAATCCCTAAATATTCCAAAAATAACCAACTAGAGCTAATAAATGATTCAGCAAAATGGCAGGATACAAAGTCAACACACACAAAAAGGCCAGATGCATTTCTATACACTAACAAAGAATAATCTGAAAAGAAAATTATGAAAACAATTTCATTCACAATAGTATCAAAAAGAATAAAATTCTTAGGAATTAACCAAGGAGGTGAAAGGCTTATAGAGCGAAAACTACAAAACTCTGCTGAAAAATCACAAAAAGAGAAACACATCCCATGTTCATGGATTGGAAGACTTAATAGTGTTAATACTACCCAAAGCAATCTCCAGGTTCAATGCAATCCCTATTAAAATCCCAATAACATTTTTTTTCAGAATGGAAAATCTCAACCTCAACCTAAATTCATATGAAATTTCAAAGAACTCAGAAAAGCCAAAACAATCTTGAAAAAGAAGAACAAAGCTGGAGAGCTCATGCTTCCTGATTTCAAAACTTATTACAAAGTTATGGTAATCAAAACAGTGTGATCCTGGTATAAAGCATAGACCAATGGAATAGAATAGAGTCCAGAAATAAACTTTTGCATGGATGCTCAAGTGATTTTTGACAAGAGTGCCAAGGTTATTCAATGGCGAAAGGACAGTCTTTTCAACAACTAGTGCTGGGAAAACTAGATATCCACATGCAAAAGAATAAAGCTGAATCCTTACCTAACACTATATACAAAAGTTAACTAAAAATGAATCAAAGACCTAAATTTAAGTTCTAAAACTGTAAAGCTCTTAGAAGAAAACACAGGACAAAAGCTCCATGACATTGGACCTCGCAATGATTTCTTGGATATGACACCAAAGGGTAAAGGCAACAAAAGAAAAAATAGTCAAATCTGACTTCATGAACATTAAAAAATTTTTTGCATCAAAAGACATTATCAACAGAGTAAAAAGGAACCCACAGAATGGGAGAATATTTGCAAATCGTGTATTTTATAAGGTATTAATATTCAGAATATATCAAGAACTTGTAAAACTCAACAACAAAAAGCAACCCAATTTGAAAACAGGCAAAGGACCTGAACAGATATTTCTCCAAAGATATACAAATGGCCAATAAGTACACAAAAAGATGCTCAACATCAGTCATCATTAGGTAAATATAAATCAAAACCATAATAAGGTATAATCTCACACCCATTAGGATGGCTGCTACCAAAAAAGAAAACAAGAAAAAACAAAGTATTGGCGAGGATGCGGAGAAACTGGAACGCTTATGCACTGTAGGTGGAAATATAAAATGGAAAACAGTATGGAGGTTCCTCAATAAATTCAAAATAGAATTGCCATATGATGCAGCAATTCCACTTCTGAGTATATATCCAAAAGAACCGAAAGCAGGGTCTTGAAGAGATATTTGTACATGCACAATTGTTAGCAGTATTCTTCACAACAGCTAAAATGTAGAAGTAATCAACTGTCATCAGTCCTCTGACAGATGAATGGATAAGCAAAATGTGGTCTATACATACAATGGAATATTACTCAGCTTTAAAACAGCAGGAAATTCTGGCACATGCTACAACATGAATGGACCTTGAGAACGTAAGTGAAATAAAACAGTCACAAAAAGACAAATTCTGTATGATTCCACTTATGTGAGATAGATAGTCAAAATTATTGAGACAGAAAGTACAATGGTGGCTGCCAAGGTCTAGGGAGTAGGGATAGGGAATTTGTGTTCAGTAGGTATAGAGTTTCAATTTTACAAGATGAAAAGATTATAGAGAAGGATGATAGTGGTGACTGCAGAACATTATGAATGTACTTACCACAAATGAACTGTACAATTAAAAATAGTAAAGATGATACTTATGTATGGTATTTTACTACAATTTAAAAAATTGAAAAACAAACAAAACAAACGGATGGATAGAATAGGAATGGTCTCTCATTTGGTCATATAAGAATAACATAAGCTAATGCTGTGAAAACATCTCATAAACTGTAATGCACCACGTTACACACTGATCTAATTTATTTGAAAATTTATCATTATAAATCAATGTACCTGACACATTACCCTTAAACATGAATGAAAATATTTTTAGAAATCACAATCACATATAATTTCCAGTGTTCACTTTTCATTCTGAAATAAAGGTTTTGTTTATATTATATTCCAAAGCTTATGAATATTTAAAAAAAAACTAAAGTAGAAGTTCTTTAATTACAACTGTATTAACACAGAGGTGAGTTGTAAATAGTGAAAAGTATTTTAGTCAAGGAAAACTTTCAAACCAAATGAAATTCAGTAACTATTCTTAAACAGCTAGAAATAGTAAGCAGCACAATGAATACTATCTAAATAGAATGATATAAAGTACAGGTGTGTGAGACAAACTATAAACAGCATCTGAGACTAGGAAGTATACATGAAGTAAGGTGGAAGCTTGTCTTTTTTATTCTACTACAACAATAGCTGCATGTGTAAAGAAAGCTATATCCAGTAATATTGATGGTTAAGTACCATTCCAGTATTTAAGCTTCTTGTTATTTACTGTTTTTACAGTGAACAGAAAATTGTAAGAACTTTTCACTGCCAAAAGCTTTCCTATTTCTATGGAATTTTGTCTTACATATAACTAACTTAATAGAAAGGCTTTCACTTTAAGTTTCTTATTATAATTAAAAAATATCTTACTAGAGGTAGCATTTCAAATTCTAAAATAAAATTTAAAAAGTACTTGGAATCCTGCTTTTTAGTACTCATTTGGAACAAACTAAGGTTTCCTAATACTTGCCTCTTGCAATCTAAAAACAACAGGGATTTTCTTTTCTGTACAGGCAGCTATGAAGTTATCAGGTAGTAACTGTCCATCTGAAAGAAACTGGTCATCTTTTCCTTGATCAATTAGTATGTCTAGCTGAGAACCTGGATAGGACTTCACAAGATGGGTAGCGTCGTAAGCCTATGAAAAGAAAAATGTTAGAAAATAAATCTAAAAGTGCCCAGAAAGATATCCTTCAGAATATACTATACTAGAACCAAAGAGAAATTTAAAGTCATTTAAACTCTACTTGATTAAATTGGAAACATGCATTTAAGTTGGCTTAAAAGCTGACTTGCCTGGTTTTTATTTATAAGGTTTTCAGAATTCTCTTTCACAATGATAGGCTCTTCCCTACTTTCAAGCAGCCGGAGGGAGGCCAGTGGTAAGCATCCTACATCTCAAGCATTCTTCAGAGTGTAGCTTTTTTTCTTCTGAACTTTTAAGGTTCATAATCATCTCTCAACTCAAAAAAACCAACAAACAACAAAACCCTTAACTTTTTTTCTTTGTAAATCCCTCCACAAGTTAACTATTTCTTAAAATTCCATTATCTTTTTTTATTTCCAAATATTCTCTATTTCAAATAAATAGTCTATTTTTTGGTCTCTTCCTTTTAGCTCTAATTCCAGACATAAATACATTCAGCCCTACCTTTTGCTGTCTGTTGAACAGCAGGAAAGGTCTGCTATCTCCATGAATTTTCAGGAAGACATGATTTGAATAATCTGGATCACATTAACAACTCCTCAAATTTAAGGAGCTGCTACTAGTTATAATTTTATATTTTACCAAGCACCTTTAAATATTCTTGATTATTCATATCTATTCACTGACCAAAACTTTTATGCATTGATCAAGACAAACAAAACATTTCTCCTTCCAAAGTATCATGCTTTTTAAGACTTTCTTCAATCTTAAAAGAAAAAAGTGGAAAGGGACCCAGAAAGTCCGACTAATTCTATGATTTCATAATTCTGCGTGGCATCCTTATTGCAATAGTAAATTAAATAATAGCCTAAACACAGCATAATTAAGATAATAAAATCTACTGCCACTTAGAGAAAAATTATATAGATTCCTTATAGGCTACCTATGCCTCTACCTCTCCTCTCCTTCTCCCAGTTAGCTGGATGTTCTACCCAACTCTTCTATTACCCAATAAGCACCCTGTGGAGAGGAAAAGGTCATAACCCTCCTGACATAAGATCTCAAACTGCAGACTCTATACATGGCGAGGACTCAAACTACTGATGTAAGCACACTGTCAGGTCTCAAAATACTTATATTAATCATTTTCAGCACTCTTCCAATATAATAAAAACCTAAGCCTAAACAAAACCAAACAAAATTCTAATCTAGTGAGCAAAGAACTGACTTGCCAGTCTGTTAGAATTTCAATGATCAATCTTAAAACAGAATAGGGGTCCACGTGTAAATGACCTTGAATACACAACTGTAAGACAAAAGGGCTTTTCCCCCACTCAAGTATTTTCTACTTGTTAACAGGCACATGATGAGTTCATTTGTAAAATATTCAAACTCTGGGTGGAGTGTGCAAATGGCCCATTTCTACACAAGAGTAAAATGAGTCTCAGGAGAAAGAGCCATTTTTATTTTCATATTGAAGCATCTTTTCCTATGCTTGAAAAAGCAACCTTGCTGCTGGGAATATTCTCATAAATGAACATTATACAATTTCTATTTTTAAAGACTTTCAAATATGGAACTTAAAACCTAAATCAGAGATATTGGATTTTAAAAGGTACACAAAGTAATTAAAACCATGGTCTCATGGTTTCTATTGTACACAACTGAGCATGCAGTTAATAAAAGGCAAACCTAAATTTAGTAAGAAGATGTGGTATTTTTGGCAATGCTAATATAGAAGTAATGTTAATTTAGAAATACAGTAAACCCTCAATCTTGCAGACCTCAACTTAATGGACTTTGGATTTAACAAACAAAATTTGCAATCTGTATGTCATATGTGAATGCTTTTAACCAAGATTTGCTTATAATTAAATTACCAGGTTACTTTTTTTGTTATTAATTCAGTTATTTTTAACAAATTTTAGCAAATAGGCTATATGTTGGGAAAAAACCGCCACAGTAATTTCACAGACACAAATAAATATTATGTATCTACAACTATAGACTACATATTTAAATCCAAGAGTCACCGCTCATAAACAATGTTTGGCCAATGATTAGCAAACTGCATTGCTCGAAGTAGTTGGTTCTGTTGTTCATATGACGTGACTTTCTGCAGCAGTTTTAACTTGTGCCTGCAGATGTTCAGATTTGTGCTAAGCCACGCCCCAGCCATGTGCATTTTGTTTACTTGCAGTGACTGGTGAATGCATGCATTTACTAGACCTATTCAGTGTAAATTTAAAATTACTGTAATACACATAGAAAACTTTTCTGTGAAGTTAAGCTTTTCATACATACTTAATTTTAATTACACAAACCTGTCTACACAAGTAAAAACAGGTAAACTAATTTGTCAATTTTTTGACATATGCATTCAAAAACCTACTTTATTCCATAACAGACTTTTGGCTTTAACAGACAGCCCTTAGCCCGAACTATGTTATATCGACGTTTAACTATAACATATAAATTGACCATTAGCAGGAAAAAAATGTGGCCTCAGAATATCTGCCATAATTCAATACAATTAGTAAGTAGGGTTTTTGTTACTGTTCTATGTTTACATTTTTGCTAATTATTTTTAACTCTGGACCCTTACCTTGAGTGTGCTGGAAATATGTCTGTAGTGTACAGCTTTTAAACAAATTTGAAAACTTCAGAATGAATACTGAGATAGCCAGCTAGTACCTACCTTCCATTTACTTTGATCTGTTCCCAAATATCCACTAAAGGCTTTTTTGCCCCAAGGACAAAGCACTGGATTGCAAATCGGAGCAAATGCTGACACAGACTTTAGAAACAAAAAAATTTAAAAACAAGTTATATGTTGCTAAATCAAATATGAACAGATATTTCCAACTTGCTTAAAAACTCAGAACTTATTTGCAACTTGCTTATAAACTCTGACTTGCCATGAAAACCCCGGTAAACAATTTTCCATAATACATCTTTTGTGTGTTCTATTAAGAGAGCTAATAATAAAGTACAGGTGCTAAAATAATGCAAAGTGATACATTACATTTTCAGTAAGTAATGCACAATGGAAGTTTATATTGAGTTTCTACTCCTTTTTTCTGCTTAAAATTAATGTGTAGTAATATGAAACAGTTTATGCCTACCTTTCTGAACACGTTATTAAATCTGAGACACATTATTTCTATTAGACAGTGCCAAGAAAGCACTGAACAATGCCCTTAAATATGGCAGAATTTTTAATACAATATAATTTTGTGTTCTGTTCAATGTTGTTTGTCACTGGATAAAATGCAGAGATGGAATCTCTCAGTTTCAGAATATTTATCAATGTTATGTTTATCAATGTTTACTAGTTTTTTTAAAGGACAAAAAAATTCAACCAAATTTGATTTTCTCCCTGACACAATCAATTTGATTGCCTTATACACATTAAAAAAGGAAAATAAACCCTTATTTTAAAAACCTGCTGTCATGACATGAATTAATTTCAACCTTATAATAAAGCTTACCAAAAGGAAAATATCTGGTGCCACAGCAAGAAATTGCTATGAGAAATATTTTCATTTCTCAGTGGCACACCTCAAATGAGTAAGAAATTCTTCCTAAGGGAAGGAAGTGGATTAAACATATTTTGAGGTCTCTGATAGTCTTGTGACTCTAAAGACAGAAGCAATCTTAAAATGATCATTGTCTCAAGATTTCCTTTTCCACACTATGGTATGCTGGGCTGCACAGTATGACACTACATACAGTGCTTATTCCAACTTGGCTTATTTAAACAAACAACAAAAAAGTAAAGCTTCAAATAAATAAATAGGAAGGCTGAGAGTAATATTTTTCAATCAAGCTGCATTTCTTTTCTTTTTTCTTCTTTTTTTAAAAAATATATCTTTACTGATTTCAGAGAGAGGAAAGGAGAGGGAGGGAGATAGAAACATCAATGATGAGTCATTGATCGGCTGCGCGCAACCCGGGCATGTGCCCTAACTGGGAATCGAACCCTGATCGCCTGAATCCTAGATCGACACTCAACCGCTGAGCCATGCCTGGCCGGGCCAATCAAGCTGCATTTCAATTTTCATCAGAGGCATTAAGAACAGAGAATTCTTAAATTTTTACAAATCATAAATATCTTCTCCCTCCGAAAACCAAAATCAACTTTACAAAGATATTCCTGGTAAAAATTTAAGTAACTGAAAGATATTGTCACAATAACATTAATCAAGAATAACCTTTAGGAAAGAAAATGATAGTTTGAATAGAAGCAATAAAATATAAGATACAATTTTTTAATACTTCGAGTAAACCAACAAGAAGCCACCATAATTGTATTCTTATGCCTCTAATTCTGTAGCATACATTATGTGGTCACATTTAATACTCCTCCCCCACAACCTCTTAAAATTACCAACACTTCTAGAAAAGTTCAGTCCCAATACTACAGTAATATCCTAAACTCAATCTTTCAAAGTTCCTAATATTATATTATCCAAGAGAGATATTTGTAACTAGAAGCTTAGGTAACCTTACTTTGTATTTTCCAGGATTCTTTAAAGCACATATCAGAGCTCCATGGCCTCCCATGGAGTGGCCAAAAATAGACATCCTTTGGGGGTCCACTGGAAAATTGGCATTTATGAGTTGGGGAAGCTAAAGAAAATTTAATAGTGTGACAAAATATATGAGAGAAACTTCAGACTTTTCAGTTATATAAAATAATAAAACAATCAATACTTATAAATCACAGTCTTACAATGGCATGAACTAGTAAAGATTTTTTTAAAACTCTCAGGTGGACAATGTTAATATATCACTGGATAATATATCTTCCTCAGAAAGCAACTTTAAGAAGATGCATAAAGGACCTTTAAAATGTCCTAAACTTTTGAACCAGTAATTCCACTTCTTGGAATCTATTCTAAGGGAAATGTCCTTAAGGGAAGAGAATTATATGAAAAGATAATCAATGTAATAATTATTATGGTAAAAAAAATATGTAAAATCATGAATGTCCTGCATTAGGAAAAAGTAAATTATGGCGTATGAAAGCAATTATTAAAGTTATGTTATAAATAGATTACAATATTGAAAACTATTTTTTCAACTAAAAAACCCCAAAATTATAGAAAAAATAGTCATACAAAAAAAATGTGGAATATACCAAACATAGTTGTTGTTTGGAGTGATAGAATTATCGATATTATTGTTTCTGAGTTTCTATAATGTAGCACATATTAAGAATTAAAATCATGTAAAATTTAGAAAAATACACAACCTGTGCATAAATATTAATAAAAGTAATGCTTTACCACTTATCCTTTCTAACTAAGCCTTGATTAATCACTATAAAATGTCTGAATGAACCAGCTACAGAGAAATAAAAAGTTTTTTCATAAACTATGTTCTTTCTGTAACTGGGCTGTGCACACAGGTATCAATATAATTATTAAACTCTCTAAAATTGTATTTAGTGTTAATTTAAATGGCAGTAAATAGAATGATAATACCAGTAAACTTGGGAACTTTCACTAAGATGATAATAAATTTGTACCAAGCAGATTCAACAATACCATATTCTAGTTTAAAATGTTCAGTACTAAAAGGATTTTGTGTCCAAAATCAAGCTTTTGGTACTCACTGATTAATAATTACTTATAAAATTACCTCCTCCGTTACATAAGAGTACATTCTGTAGTTAGTTTTCCAACGATCTTCAGTGGCATCCACATAAAATCCAGCACCAGTACCAAAGTCCCAGCTTTCATCTTCTCCTTTAATATTGCAGCCACCTATCAAGAAAAAATCTTATACTCTGTAGTAAAGGTCTTTTAAATGAATCTGAATATTTGCATTAAAGCTGTTAGACAAATATTGTGGGCTCTCTTCTTTGCTTTTTTGGGGCACATACTTCCTAGCCCTCTTGAGTGGGGCCATGTTCTAGCCAATGAGGTGAGAGAATGCCCTTCCAGGCTGGGGTATTCACTGCCAATATAAGGGACACTGGCTTTCTTTGTTGATGAAGTTCCCTACTGTGTATTCTGAACCTACACTTCGTCACTCTGTTTTACCTGTCAAAGGGCTTACAGCCTCCTTTTATTTTTCAGAAATGTTGAGATTCCTTCTCTGATGATCCTAGCCCTTAACCAGCACTTCCATAATTCTCTTTATCACTGTAGTCTTAGAAGCAAGGGAGACAAATGTTTGTGCTCAGTTTACTATCATGAACTGAGTGTCTCCTCATATACTTTGGACTCATTCCATGTTTCCCCTATACACCCATCCCTCATTGGGATTTTCTTGTATTCCTTTTTAATTTATTAGGTTTTGGTTTTATATACTTGCATGTAGTTAAAAAGCCAACCATTGGAATTTTGAATAGAATTAGAGTAACAGAAAGAGAAACTTGAAGGAAATGAACTCTTCATAATATTCAGTCTACCCATCCAGGAACATGACAATTTTCCACTTATTAAGTTTTAATTTATGATCTTTAGCAAATTTTATCAGTTTAAAAAAGAAATCTTTATTTTTAAAGTTTATTCCTAGGCGTTTTATATATTTTATACTATTTTGAATTAAGTTTTTTATTACATTTCTAGTGAGACATGTCTTGCTTTTGTGTAATATGGCCTGTGAAAGGAAATGCACTACTTCCCAAGGTCATTTAACTTCCAGAGTTTTAGCTGGCATTTAAATTCCACTTCCTGAGACTTCGAGTCACAAAGGAAGTTTTAACTATCTGATGGATTAAGGTGCCCAATGTTTAAAATTCTCTAATATAAACATGTTAGTCATTTATAATTAAAACTAGTACTTTCTACACTGTATGATTATCTGATGACTAACAAAGATGAGAAAAAACATCATTATCATATGACAAGACAGTTTACCTACAGAACGGAAAATGTATATAGCATGGTATTTTAGAGTCATGGAGTCACTTGAAAGATTAATAGAAATATAGCAAAAATATGAAATGAATTTTATAGGGTATATAATATCCCACTTAAAATTTAGTCTTAAAGATTTATATTATTTACAAAGGACTCAGGAACTAAAACACTTACGAGGGCTGGTATCTGGAGCAATGACAACAAGGCCATGTTCTGAAGCAGCCTGATGATAACCAGATTTTGATATAAAATTCTGTTCGGTGCAAGTTAAACCTGAAGATCAAAAATACTCTTATTTCATACTATATTACAAATGGTTTATAAGCTTTAATATTTTTATAATACAGGAAAACAATCTTACTTGGTATTATCAACAAGTTTTTTTTCATTTTTTGTTTTTTTAGAAATGATTCTAAAGAAGATGCTAAAGTTTCCCTCCTCATAAAATTTATAACAGTATTAATCTAAGATCTGCCTTAGGTTAAATGCTCCCATAGCTGTCCTTTGAAAGTCACTTACTAAAGTTCCAATTACTAAAATCTTTAGGATCAGATGAGTTTGGGAATTCAGAAAATTTTCAAGCTGTAGAATAGCAATATGGTACGTAAAACAAGTGTTATAACAACCTCAGTGCAATATTGTCAAACATGCCAGTTAAACATGTTACTATTTCTACATCAAAACACAAATATTCACAGTGAGAAAAATACTACAGTAATCATAATACAAATAACTTTATATTTCTATATACAAGTAGTTTACAGCAACAAAATTCAGCCTAATAATCTTTGTATTCCTTATGTACTAAGAAGAGAGTAATGGCTACGATATGCCTTCCTTAAATTGAGTTTTAGCTCATTTTTACAACTGTTTCTGCCATTTTTCCTACCTCTATGCTTTTCAGTTATGTGATATAAAAGATTTACTTCTCTTACTATGGGAGTCTATACTATAATGATGTGAGAATGGCCAAGAATGAACTGGCAATAGATGCCTGAGCCCAAAAGTACCTAACCTAACAGCTCTTCTCCAGTGGCCAATAATAAATATCCCACCACACCTGATAATTAGCAAAGTCAAAGCTTACTGATATGCATGATGCAATATGAATTAACTACAGAACACTTTTATAGTTTCTATTTACCCCCTAAAAGCCAGCACAGAGACTTATGAAATGATTGCCCAATAAAGACTTGTTAAATTAATAATTATAACATATAAAGTTATAAGCAACATTGGATAAAGTGTTACGGAAGTTTACCATTAAGTAAACCATTAGGACATATACATTTCCACTATTCATGGCAAGAGAACAAGGTCTTTTTTGTTCAACATGTTCCTTTCCAGCACATCTTACAGAGATATGAAAGCCATATCATGGTGTAGAACTGCCCCAACTACTGATAAAAGGTCAACAATTTTGCTGATCTTAACATAAATGTGTTCAGAGAAGGAAGGATAATAGTGTAGAAAGCATGGGCTTTGGATTTCAGATAGGATCTGGTTCCTCATGTCACTCAGCCACTTATTAGCTAAACAAAATCAGGAAAGTAACTCAAATATTCTGAGCCTCAGTTCTTTCATTTGAAAAAGGGGCATAATATTGTCTATTTTTGCCTCATAAGGTGGTGTGAAGATTAAATGTGATAACACTCTGAATTGTGCCTGGGACACAGTGTATAGCACCTTGCACTTGGGAAATGTAAATCTGTAGAGACCAGAGAAAAAGGGTTTTTTCTAGGTAGAACACAAATTCCTCAATTAAGGTAGTAGGAATTGAATTATAGACTCATAAAAACAAAGATAATTGTATTAGTAGGATTACTCTCAAGACTATGGAGAAGATTACTAATTAATATCTACTTGATCAACTGTACTTATTTTATATGAAGAGTTAGGGTTTTTTGCAACAACTTTATTGAGGTATAATTCAGATGTCATACAATTCAACCATTTACAATGTATAGCTCAATGATTGTTAGTATATTTATAATTATGCAACTATCACCATTATCTAATTTTAGGACATTTTCATCACCCCTAAGTAGTCACTCCCATTTTCTCCCAACCTTAGTCCTAGGCAACCACTAGTCTACTTTCTGTCTTTGTGGATTTACCTATTCTGGGCATTTCATATAAATGGAGTTTAACAATCTTTTGTGAATGGCTTTTTTCACTTAGCATCAAGTTCTCAAGGTTCATCCATGTTATATGTAGCATCTATGAGGACTTTGTTACTCTTTGTTTTTGAATAATATTCCATTATACACAGAGATCAATTTTATTTATCATTTCATCAATTGACGAACCTTTGTTTTGTTTCCACTTTTTTGCTATTATAATATATAATGTAATACATGAACATTGTGTGAAAGCTTTTGTGTGGACATAGGTTTTAAATTCTGTTGGGTGCATGTGTGTGTATATGTGTGTGTGTGTGTGTGTATAAAATGAAGGACTATTTTGATGGTCACACTGACTTGGGAAAGATGAAATACACTGCATTCAGACCACATTCTAGAATTCAGTTTGAATGTTTTAATTTCAGCTTATTAACTTTAGAAATAAATGACGTAATCTTTCTGTAACTATTTTCCTTCAACTTACTGGAAAGTAAACCTTCTAAAATTCTTTTGTCATTATTTGTCAAGTGTACTGGTTAATCCTTTTTTTTTTTTTTTTCCAGAAAAATCAAGCCTTAATTTCCAAGGTATATCTGTTCTTCAGCATCTCACTAAGGAAACTGTCCCATCATTTGATGTAAATAAATAAACATTCTGTTTTTTATACTCATGAAGCCCAATGATATGTCTTAATGGATTTAAATTTTGGTTGGGAATTTAGGGTCGTATTATTATAGTAGCTATTATACAACACCCTGGTACTTTTGATCTGGATTATTCTTTTTTTTTTTTTTTAAATATATCTTTATTGATTTCAGAGAGAGGAATGGAGAGGGAGCGAGAGAGACAGAAACATCAATGACGAGAGAGTCATTGGTCAAACCCACAACCTGGGCACGTGCCCTGACCGGGAATCAAACCCCGATTGCCTGGATCCTAGGTCAACACTCAACCACTGAGCCACGCCCGGCCGGGCTGGATTATTATTCTTTTAACCAAGAGATATGACTTTAGTTGCTCTCATCAGAAACAAAAAGCAAAAAGAACAGGAGGAAAGACTAAATACAGCTCTGGAACATGAATCAGAAAATTTGTTCACCCTGTTATGAGATCTTGGGTAAAATATAACTTCACTGGGCCTATAAAACAGCTTACATGATTTCTAAGATGACCTTTAGCTAAGTTTCTAAAACAATTAAACATGTAATTTTGTTATTGCTGCTTTTGGCAATACCCAATGTTTTTCTAGCAAAACCCGTTTCTTTGTTTTCAATCACAGAAATGGCTTGATGAGTTAAAATCAGATAGGCAGTTAATTTTTACCGTTTAAAATATCCATTCTAATTTTTAAAGATTGGTATTTAGGGCTTATCTTTGATGAAAACATACATAAGGAAAGATTTATTAAATCAAGTTATAAGAAGAAATGTTAAGGAATCAAAGATAGTTAGCACTTCCATAGATGAAGTGTCAACATCTTGTAAAAGAAAAGCTGGCACAGAGAGTCAAAACCACTGTTGGTAAAACCTTACTCTTAAAATCCATTCCATAGTTTTTAGTATTCACCACTGATTAAGAAGCATTATTATTATTTGTGATTTTTCCAGATTGTTGCCAGAGAAGATCCATGGAGTCCAATTAAAATATTCCAGACAATACTGTAAGAAGTTACTTGTCTGTGGCTTCAAATTAGTGTATCATTGGTGTCCTGGTTTTACATAGTAGTATTCTACTTAAGTGGTAAAATCTCTACAAGAAATGCTTGGGTAGGCAGAAAATAGGTAAGTAACTTTTCTAAGCTATTGCCATTGAGTCCAGAACTTTACATTCTCTGCTAAATTACTCTGTCTAACTAAAAAAGAAGTGAAATACATTGGGGTGGGCACACAATGCGATATACAAATGATGTTCACTTGAAGCCTATATACTTTTATTAATCAATGTCACCCCAATAAATTTAATTAAAAATAATGAATTTTTAAAAAGTGCTTTTGTATTTAGTAAAACAGCTTTACTATTTTTGTAGGGGTGGTAATGTGTATAAAGCATTATTGTATGAAATCCACACATTTCTAGTTATGATTTTTAGTCATGCTGTTGTAGGATTATATGAAATTTAATTTATCAGCCTTTTAGTAATGAAATTGGTGACTACTGGTGAACCTTAATATTGTATCAAGGTTTTCCTTGGGACAGATGTTGCCTGGGGAAAACTATGCCCTAGGGTTTTTATTCTTCCTCTCCCTAGAATTTGTAACAAGTAAAATTAAAACAAAACAAAAAAGAAGTGAAATAAATGTAATTCAGTAGGCCTGAAATTATTCTCAGGATAACGGAAGAGTAGACTATTGACAGCCTTTTATAAGTGGCTCAGAAAGCACACTAGTAAGTCAAGATAAAAGAGTAAGATAAGCCAGTTAAAAAGAAAAAGAAACTCCATTATAAAACTCAAATGTATAACACTTACCAGACAGCCAATATAGTGCAGGGCATTTTCCAGTTTCTGACTTTGGTGGTAAGTAGATAGCAAATTTCATTTTGCAGTTCAGTTCAACACTGTAATTTTAACAGTCACACACACACACAAAATCAATGCTCCTTAGTCAAGACTGAAACATAAGTGATTTAATGTCCAAAGTAAGTGATGCCACCAACATTTAAGGACTATACCTTGGCACTTAAAGAATGGGCCCAACTCAGCCTAGTGATTTTTTAACCCACCTAAGCTGAGCCTATGCTGCGCACAAAACACAGTCATTTTGGCCAGAATAAATTAAAAAAATAAATGTAATATCCTCAATGTAGCACTAATATTATTTAAAAAAACAAACAACTGTTTGTTTCTAAAGATAAAAAATTTTATAAAAAATTTATTCTGAAGATCTTAAATTACATGTTCACTCACTCATGGGCACTGAAATGTACCATATCCTGAATTTGCTCTTTATCACTAATATTTTATTAAAATCACTAATATCAAGGCTAGATAATTTTGATTAAAAAAATACACAGATATTTTTCCATGTAAACAGTAATTCATGCAACAATGATGTTTCATAGGCTTATTTAAAGAATCAAATGGATGGAAGAAGAATGAGATATCTAAAATTTTATCTTCTTAGTGGTTACCTGTCATGTTCAAAAACTTTCTGCAATCCCCCGAAGCACTTGTTGCTGGAAATCTGTTTCAATGCCATTCTTTTCCTATTAGTGAAGATTAATCTCATTAATTTCTAGAGAATTAGTTCCTCAAAATTTTGAAACAAAACTGTTTTCAGATAAACTATCCAAATGTACAACTGCTTTTCACCTGGACTTTTTCCACACATGCTAATTTTCTCTAATAAGTAATATTAAGGAACTTTCTTTGTTACCACATTAAAAAACTTTAGTACTTTGGTATATCATTATTAATGTATTAACAAGCTTTTTATGTGTGTGGACTGCCCCAAATTCTTTTTAGAAAGAGGTAGAATACAAGTAGGTCATTAACTGACTGCTTTAGCTTAGAAGATAAAAATTGTTAATAACTTACCTGTTAAGTATAACAAGGAGTTAAGGAATTGCCATGACCAATTATGGTTGATTTTAAAATGGGAGAAAAGTGATGCAACAATGATTTTAATAATAACAGATAATATTTATTGAACACTTCCAGTGTGATAGGCACTCTTCTATATGTTAAACCAGATCAAATTACTCATCTTATGAAAGTTTTTGTGAGAAAGTGAAGCACAAGTTTTAGATCATCATTTTTCTCTTTAAACCAAATCAACAAGTAAAACACAAGGCTGTTCTAAGTGAATTAAAAGTACTGCTTGTCACCGGGAAATTCTGAAGTTTGGTAATTCTTTCCTCTCCAACAAATCCTTTAAATTTCCATAAATATTTTTATTACTATTATAATTATTATTTTTTAATCCTCACCTGAGGATATTTTTTCCATTGCTTTTCAGAGAGTGTAAGGGAACGAGAGAGAGAGAGAAACATCCAGGTGAGAGACACATCGATTGGTTGTCCCAACCAGGGCCAGGGATCAAGCCTGCAACCAAGGTATGTGCCCCTGGCCGGACCCTTCAGTCAGTGGGCCAACGATCTAATCAGAACTAAACCGTACAGGGCTCATAAATAATTTTAAATTTAAATGTTAAAATACCACATTATTAATTTTTAATAATAAATTTAAAAATTGGAGAGCCATCTTTATCACAAATGCTTACTGAGCAAAGCAGAACTAGACTGATTCTGTTTTGTATCTCTCAAGGAAAGATTCCCTTCCTCTCCTTAACAAGTATTACCACTCTGGTGGTCTTTTCAGTAAAACGTTCTGTATGTTGATCAAATGTGGTACCAGGGTTATTCCTCAAAGATATGTAACAATAACCTTAAAAGCTACTTTTGGAAATGTCTTTGCAAAATTCTAAATAAGATTAGTTTCAATCCTGCCTTTAAGTAATCCCCTCAATAAATACAAATACTTAGATTTGCATTGGAAAGCTGAGATTTGAACCAGAAGGTCTGACATCAGAAACTCTATGCTGCTATGTTCACCTACTCCCTAGAAGGTCTTTAAATACACTTTTTTAGACACTCTAAGATTAACTAATTTTATAAGATTAAGGTACTACAATTACAAAGAAACCAACTTCTATTCAGAGGTTTATGCTTTCAATCTATAAAGGATAAATTCTTAAACAACAAACTGTTCACTAGATGTTAATTATTGAATATTAACTTCTGCTATTCTAGCTCCTGATCCTACCTTAAATAATGAACAGATGCATAATTTTAACATATACACATGAGACCAAGGGATAAAACTGATTTGGGGAATTATTCTACATGGAAATCCTATTTTCTTAAACTTAGCAGGGACTATGTCTGCTGCTTTCCCAAAACACGGTACACTGAGTCTATAACTAGTATATAAGAAGTAGCTAATAATTATTTGTTGAATGAATGAATGATTAATTTTATAACGTCTTACTTCCTATTATGTGAGTTTTAAAAATTAGCTTGTCCTTTACCTCTATCACTCTATACTTTGTTATTCATTTTAGTAAACTACAACTAGTTGATTTCCTCTGCTCTTTATTCAAATTCAAAATCAGACACTTTCCATTTGGTCAGAGAAAACAAAGTTAAAATACTATGTTTAAAATTGGTAAAATGAATTAAAAAATAAAAGCTTTAAACATTTTTTTCTCTAACCACCCATTTTAGAAACTAGTCAATTATAAATCAAGAAAAAAGTTAGCCTCAATAAGAAATGACATAAGCTAAGAACTAGATATGATATACTATGATTTATGACATGATACACTAGGTGATTTATATTTTTCATTAAAATTTTTTTATGAGCGAAATGATGTTTCAAACCAAGTGTTTAGATTTTTCATTCAACTTCCAAGTAACACACAATATATAAAACTTAAATTACCTGCCCAATTGCTACTTGCTCTTTTGTCTGTACCGAAGGGTAGATGATTCTGGAAAAAATATGACCAAGTAGTTTATATACAGGACATACTTTTCACAACAAAGGTTACACAGACATGTATTGTAGGTTAATCATTCTTTTTTTAAAAATATATCTTTATTAATTTCAGAGAGAGGAAGAGAGTGAGAGAGAGAGAGACACATCAATGATGAGTCACTGATCAGCTGCCTCCTGCATGCCAGGGATCAAGCCCGCAACCCGGGCATGTGCCGACCAGGAATCTAACCTGCATCTCCTGGATCCTAGGTTGATGCTCAACCGATGAGCCACGCCCAGCCAGGCTAGATTAATCACTCTTAACAGAGATATTTTCTTCTCCAGAGGTAGGTGACTATCTACCCTGGATGTGGCAGCATGGAAAATGCAGCTGATAGAGCAGCAACTACCACTTCACCTTGGCTATTAACCTAATTACCTTAATACCTATTTTGCCACAAGGCCTGATGTCTGATCGAAAACTTTTGCTGGAATAAGACTCCTATGAAGTTTTTTTTTACTTTTAAATAAATATTTTTGAAAGTTTTAAAGTATAATTTATAAGTCCTGAGAGGGAAGAAAATAGGAGTAGGGGACTAGAAAAGTAGAGAAAGATAAAAAGCCTAGATCTCTCTGGCCAAGAGCTGTAGGTCAACTGTTATTGACCCCAAATGTTATCTACCTCCAGAAATCTGTGTTCTTTGTATATTTACCTTCTTTCTATGAGTCTCAGACAAACATCACATGACCTCGCTTATACGTGGAATCTAAAGAACTTAATAAACTGATGAACAGAATAGATTAAATGACACAGAAGCATAGATGAGACTGATGAATGTCGGAGGGATGGAGGAGGGCGGGTGGGTGGAGGGGGAGAGAGTAACCAAAGAATTTAT